GGCGGCTGCAAGGAGCAGGCAGAGCTGTCCCCCACTCCACTGGAGCCACGGCTGCTCTACCTTGGTGGGGGGCTGCTCCACCTTGAGATCCGGAGGGTTGGCCAGCAGGTCCCTGGCCAGGTCCACAGTCAGCCGGCACGCTTCGTTGCTGTAGCCGTGCGCGTAGAGCGCCTCCGCACAGGCAAAGAGGATCTGGAAATGAAGGGACAGCGGGTCGGACTGAATCCACGGGCTCGCAGTGGGAGGCAGCCCCGCCCAGGGTGAGGCGAGGGAAACACGCTGGCTTGTTCGTGCAGAACATTTGCTTTGAGAAGCTCTTGTGCCCCATGGCTCAGAGCAGCAGCTTGACATTTAGAAGGGCACTGGCCTGCCAGCGACATGCTTTGGGGATGCCCCATTCAAATCCACCCAAATTTGGCCAAGCGATCACCTTAAGAAAAAACGCCAGCGCGCGTCAGCTGAATTCCAGCCCCACGGGGCTCAGCGCCCTCGACTTGGCCTGCCCTCGGCCCCTGTAGCCAGGCAGGGCCCCAGAACAGAGAGCGGGGAGCCTGCCTCTCCTGTGGAGAAGGAACCTGCTTACCTGGAATGCAGAGGGGGCGAGCGCTGGCCCTGGGTGAGGGATCAGACTGGAACCAAGACACCTTGGAGAAGGGAGGGGCCTGGAAGTTGGAGGGGTTGGCTGGGCACGGAGACAAGGAGCGGAAGCTGGGAGCCAGCTGGGGCGAGGAAGCGGGGGGGGGGGAGGGAATCTACCACCGAGCTGGGGGTAAGGGCACTGGGACTGGTTGGGCCAAAAGACTGGGACAAGTGCAGAAATTGTCCAAGGAGCCCAAGGAGGCAGACTGGGCCCTGGAGCAGCGGGGACAGGGAATGAGACTGGTCAGACAAGAGCGGGAAGGGAGAGCTGGAATGGGCAAAGGAACAAGGAGCCGGGCTGGCTATGGGGACAGGGAATGGATGGGGAGCCGGGATGCTGGCATGGGAGATTAGAGACGGTCAGGCAAGGAGCAGCCAGGGAGGGGAAGAGACGAGCCTTGGCCGGGGCGGGAGAAACGAGCAGACGCGCTCGCCGTGGCTAGAACACACTGCCCCGCAGAGCCTAACGCGCCAGGTCCTACCATCCGCTGAGCTTAGCAAAGAAGGGCAGATGGCTGATCCTAGTGGGGACCAAAATAACGTAGCACAGCCAGCTTCAATTCCAGCCTCTCGACCGGACCGTGCCAACGTGCAACGTTCCTTCAACGTGCTTCACGAGTGTAACACACACAGCAGTGGGGAACCCCAGGCCCACAGCTCACTTTCATGTGCCCCAGGGCCAATCTCATGTCCTTCGGTCCTTAAGCACGGGGGAGACCACAGAAATGCCACACGATGCCCTGCCCCCAGCGCTGGCTCCACGGCTCTCATTGGCTGGGAACCATGGCCAATGGGAGCTGCAAGGCAGTACCTGTGGGCACAGGCAGCATGCACCATACAGAGCTACCTGG